TCTACCTCGGTGCGGCCTGTTCGGCTCTGTCGTGTACCTCGGCCGCATGGTGCCCGAGACCACGTCCTCGCGTCCTGCCCGCCTGCGTCATGCTACTCGGTCGCATGGCCCTCGCGACCACGCTTGCGCGGTCTGCCCGCTTGCGTCGTGCTCCTCGGTCGTGCAATACCCGAGACCACACCTGCGCCGCCAGCCGCCTGCGTCGTGCTCCTTGGCTCCATGTTCCCGAGACAGACCAGCGCCGCCAGCCCGCTTGCGTCGTGTCCCTCGGCTCCATACCCCCAGAGACACGCCTGCGCGTCCAGCCTGCCCGCACCGAGCTCCTCGGCCTTATTCACGACCGAGTCTATCTCAGGGTTGTTTACCCACCAGGGTCTCGCCACTCGGTCGCAGCCCGCCCACACCGAGCACCTCGGCCACACACTACCGAGATCCACCTCGGTACAGCCTGTCCGCCTGTGTCGTGCTGCCCGGCCGCATGGTGCTCGAGACCACGTACGCGCGTCCTGCCCGCTTGCGTCGTGCTCCTCGGCCCTCGGCTTTTCGCCTCCCGAGACCACACTTGCGCGGTCACCCCGCCTGCGTTGTGCTCCTCGGCCCTCGGCTCGACGCCTCCCGAGATCACACCTGCGCGGTCACCCCGCCAGTGTTGTGCTCCTCGGCCCTCGGCATTACACCTCCACGATAACCAACACATCCAAAGGATCATTATCTTCGCAAAGAGTGTGTGGGGTGAAACCATTAGTTATAAGAATACACATCATAATGATACAGCATATGGTTTACCTGTATATATAAAATAAATACAAAACTTCCAACAGAAAGAACAAAGGAAACAACAAGGTAAAAGTAGCACGCATACCTTTATCAACCCACTTTGTTTTTTGGGTCAAATTCACATTTAAATTTGCTTCCCCTTACCGGCTCCACCACCCGTAGAAATTCAATTTTTTTGTTTACTCTTAGTCATGGCATCCTGTTTTAAGTACAAATACGAAGTATCCTTTTCATCCACATAAATATAAATTCGAAAGACCCTATAAAATGAATTGATCAATTAAGATATTATAAATTGTCAAAGAACCCAACAGTTGAATATGTCAGCTAGGTTACACACAATTACTTTAATGCCAAAACAACTTTGCCAAGTTAATGTTCTAGCACCACATTGAAGTCCATTTATTAGTATCAAACCCTGTGATAGGACAACTTATTATTGAAAAGTTTAGTATACTTACACAGTTGAATATTATTGGCTAGGGCCTGCGAGCAAAATCCAAAGTCCAATTAAGAAAGGAATTAACAAAGAAAGAGATGAGCACGCTACTACATGAAAATTTTTGTTAGGAGATTGAGTACCTATTTAATGATAATGCCAAGGATGTGCTTTAACAGACCTTGTAGGCATGGATGAAAGTATTCTTTCTTTGAGCGGGGTGGATCAGAAATTTGCATGTCAGAATCTTTTGCTGGTACTTTAGGAGGTGAAGCCATAATGAGAATCTGATAAACATAAAATGAATTTTCAACAAAAACAATGTTCATCATCTCATCCTAAATATATAGTTTTTGGAACATCGAAGAATGTAGAATTTACTAACCATGAGTGAAATGTAAAAAAAAAAATGTATTAAAACAAAAACATGCAAAAGAAATGTGCTTTGAGACTTTTGCCACCCTAGCTTAACCATGGCTCATCGTCAAACTATATCCATAATGTATCACAGAAGACAATAGTTTGTCAATCAACAAGCTAATTAATCAACATAGAATTTGAGCTTCTTCTGCCCAGCTATTAATGTCTGAGGATTTGTTTTCAGGCTGCACGTCATGCACATCATTAAAGCAATCAATAAGAATTATTATTACACAGAAAATAAAGTAACCATTACTATTATTGTGCCTGTCATTGCCCTCATCCGCATTAAATTAGGCCCAAAGGTATAAGTAGCCTGTCGGCATCATTCATCCATATGCAAAGGGCAGATATATGATGTGTTTAGAATATACGATGTGGGTTCAAAATCTGTAAAGCCTATGCAAAATGCCATTGTTGTCAGCATAAAAAAAATTAACGAAAATTATTAGGTTTATTTTCATTTATATAATTTGGTAGATAGGGCTCTATCAGAACAGATTGGGCAGATCAGTGACTTTCAAGGATAATATTATATCGGGAAACAGCAACGCTATCACATCTCTAAGATCTTAAAGCCAGTCATGAGATCTGAAGAAATAAAGCAGCAAAACTTCATCCAACTTTACTTTGTGCACATGTGGAACAAATGCGAGACAAACACAACACAATTGACTTGGACTTATGATGACTTCTTATACAAGCTATTTTCCCTTGTATTGTCTCTTTATCATTTATAGTTGTTCAGTTATTTTGAGGAGTCTTAAAACACTATTTGTTAACAGTCTTAAAACATAAACTTATTTGTAAAATGCTATCCACAAAGCAAAGATATATGGCCAACTTAGATCCAGCCGACACTCTACATCTCTAAATGCTTGTCATGCACAATTCACTGATCATTCTTATATTTTAGAAAAGGATAGCCTAGTGCATAAGACTCCCACCAGTATACAATATAGAGAAAATATTTGATGCCCTACTTTTGCAAATAAGTGTTTTCATGACTCAGTTAGATCATTAATAGGATGGTATTTTGCGCTAGAATGTACATTTACTTTTGCTTCTACAGCACAAACAATTAAGATATATTTTCACCATACTCATCATCTTAGTATGTGCTTTCATCTCCTTTGGTTTTGATGCATCTTATGCAAAGCAGGAGGCAGGCATTGATCTCATAGAGTATGTACTGATGGTTTCTCTCATGAAAATGTGCATTGATGTCCAGTTTATCTGAAACTCTTCCCAGAAGTATAAATTCATGTTTTTTATCCAATAAGATATTGATGTTTTTCCTTATCAAATTTGGTTCTCCTTGAACATAGAAAATCAGATAAGGAAAAAGTAAAGAGGGAATCTACCTGCCTGAATCTTCAGCTTAGAAAGCAATACAGCACTCCATGTAAGTATTATCATTTTTGTCATCATTTCTTTATTTCTTCAGCTTGCTACCTACTTAATCTCATTCATATTTACTATTTGCATATAGTTTCTCTCCTTTTGATCTCTGAAGTATAATTGCAGGGACATTTATGCTACTTTGTTGAAAACTGAGGCAGAAAGCATTTTGAGTAGTGATTGATTGGTACTGCAGCAATTGGTCTTCGTTTGTTCTCTTCTTTACAAAGTGAAATTATATATGTAGGAAGATTTTTAAATTCTGAAAATTTTGCACGATTTTCTCAAGTAGATACATATACAGGAAATTTTTATGTTCTGAAGGATCTCTTTTATACAAATATCCCTTCAGATATACATGCTAATGGCAAATATTACAGATCTCTTGGGCAGGATAGCCAATAAGGGTGTATCGAAGTGCGCAGTCAAATGTTGCTTGTTGTTTAATGTGATTGCCAGCACTGGCTGCTTTATTAATAGCATATGGAACTTGCTCCCTCGTGTGATTGTAAATGCCGGAAGTAGTTTGGATTTTTTCCCATCACCAAGTACCACATATAATATCAGAGACAACGATGTTCTATCAATGTGATGGATGATGAAAGATACATTTGTTGAATGCATGGCAGAAGGACCTCAATTTGATTCCTCTGTTACATATGGCAGATAGATATAAAGCGCCATAACACATTTCATTATGTTTGCAGTTCGCCTGCGACGCCTTCCACGAAGCTGGAGTCTAATGGTGATATGTTCTCTTCCTGCCGTGGCACCTCAGCTATCGGTGAAAAGACCAGTGACCATGAAGCAGAAACATGCAATATCTAACATTTCAGGTTGTGTACTCGGCATTTATCTTGACATAATCGTAACTGAGATCACAACCCCAAGCCTTTCCGCATCCCTGGCCATTCCCTGTTATAGAGCATGAACAAAGGCATCAAACGTTTACACAAAAAGGAACAAGAATAGAGAGCCATGTTCTTCACATGACACGGGTAATTATACTGGATAAGATACTGCAATGTGACTATGTATTATTAAGCACAGAAATTGCATTTGACACAAATCAAAAGGGTATAAACGTTTTCTTCCTATTTTTTATATAACAGCAAGGATTGAAATTTTATACTGTAATAAAATTTTGAAATTCGCTCGGTACAATACTGTACTGTATACTAAACGATATATATATATATATATATATATATATATATATATATATATATATATATATATATATATATATATATATATATGTTGAGCGCAGGTGCAATCGTCTCATTGCCTTTTTTTTTTACACATGGGGAGAAGAAATCGTTTCTTTCTCCCCATGCAAAAAAGGGCGATGAGGCAATGTCGTCGATTGCCTCGTCGCCTCGTTTCTTCTATTTGTGTGGGAAGAAGAAACGCCACCTCGACAATGCTCAGTTTCTTCTCCTCGCGACGTCACCGAGGACTCAAGTCGTCGATGACATCGAGGCCTTGTCGCCTCAGACAAGGAGGAAGAGCGATGCCGGATCTCTAGGTTCACTTCTTCTCTCTCTTCTTTCTTCTCCCTTGGTTAATACCACCCGGTAGCGGGCAATGACGATCAATTTGGGGTGGTAACGGAGCAGAAACAACCCTAATTGACGGTACTGCCCGGTAGCGGATGGTTAGCGTACTGGTCTGCTGGCGGACCAATACGTACCACCCGATACAAGCGGTATTATTTGAAATTAAAATCCTTGGATAGCGGTAACAAACTAGATTCTTATCCGATGGTTAACATTATACAGTATACAAGTGCATGTGCTGTGCAAGTGACCATATACTTTTAATGAAGTCTCGTGCAAGAATGAACAAAAGAAAGTTGCAGCTTAAATTGTTCTACGTTAGTCAACTAAAACTTACCGACAGATACATGAATTTTAACAGTTCCGTGGGATTCGCCAGCCAGTCTAAGATACTTGCTAGCCAGAGCCCTGTAACATTTAATAAGTATCAATCAATACAAGAGTTACAATATTATACATTATAAAAATGGAAAATAAAATATTTCTTTCCCAGATGGCATATGTTGAATAAACGGTAAAAGCCACCTCCACTGGATGTACATATATGTTATGTATTGTACTAACTATACTGTATGCCTTGCAAATGCTAGACAGCTAAGCATAATATTTTGAGACATTTAGTTAAAAGCAAGCAGATGATAACATGGAGCAAGAGATTACAAGCAATAGGTGAACAGATGCCAATATAATCATGATCATGATAAACAACATTTCTAAGCAAATCAGGTATTATGCAATTTATGATGCATCATCTGAAAAAAATTTAGGTATCTTAAAGTTTTATGGTGCTTATGGATATAGGATTTCTCTAAGCATCATTTTGTAAAAACTCTTATACTGGCTGGGCTATAAATGTTTTTTTGCTCTGGAAAAAGGTTGTGCTATCGCCAAGATATAATTATGATTGCAGTAAATCTGTTCTGCAATAGAGATGGAAGACAACTCTTGACCTGTCAAATGGCAGTGGCTGACCATCTCTCATGAGTGGAATATCTCCAAGTGATATGTGAAGTTCATTAGGATTGAAACGAATGCCCGCATAACCAACAGCACATGCAATACGTCCCCAGTTTGGATCTCTTCCATATATAGCAGCCTGCAGGCATCACTAAATCCGAGTTATTGTTGTGGCAAGTTAAGATAGTAACACAATAACCAGTAAAAATTGATGAAACAATGTAGAATTGTTTTTTCTCATTCTCTGTCAACAGTCAACACGGTGCTGGACAACAAATAATTTGACAAAAAAGACTACCGTACTTTGACAAGTGAAGAAGATGCCACAGAGTGGGCTATCTTTGCTGCTTCTGCCTCTTCACCCGCACCAGTAACAGTAACCTAAAATCATGAAAGACGATTCATAGGCATCGACTATTTCATCCTTTATACTGAAAAATATCATAAGAAGAAAGTTGACGTTATAAAATAAAATCCATCAAATTTAAATAACAGCATATGTTAAAACTTTAACCAGCTGAACTTCAATTAGTTATGCAGTCAGTTGAAACTTTATTTCATCTGCTCAGGCCGTGTTTAGGATCTCATGCATAAAATATATATTGATTTATGACAAAGGAAGAAAAGAAAATTTTGCTTCATCATATGAAACCTCAATCAAGCATGTTGCACCCTCCCCATCCCAAGCTATTGATTTTGCAAGACCTTGCATGACCTGGAATGAAACAAGGATTTACAATTCATAACTACAATAATAGATTCCTATACTGCATACAACCAATTTAAATTACCAGCATCCATAAACAAAAGGTATAATATAGTGGTCATTCCATGAGCAATCTGGGTTTAAATTATTGTTTGAACAATAACATATTTATGTAAAACAATCATAAGAAAACTGTGAATTTTAAATTTTCTTTAAAATTTCTTCATTATTCCCAACAAATTTGTGCATATGAAACACAAGTTTGATTGTTTAGGATGAACAATATTTTGATGTCCTCAAATTGAGTTAAAAGTACAATCAGCAGATCCATCTTTTGGGTATCTCATACAGTCCAAAAGAATTTGCAGTAAGAACACTGAACACTGAAAAAGCTTAAGAATTGTAATGATCTTATATCATTACGTCCACAGTAAGATACTATTTCATATTTTTTAGTTCAAATGAAGTTACTAAAAGAATCATCAATTCAGTGCCCATTTTCTATAACAGCTATACAGGATAAATCAAATAACAACTCTCAATTTCAGATGAATAAATGTAAAGCAATAACACAAATGAAAGACAAAAACATAACAGTATCCAAAATGAATACATATTCTTCTAGAATTTAAGTTCAATATCAGTTTTGGCAACATATTGAACTGATATGGTACCAGCATACTAGTCAGTTTACCTTACTGTGACACCTGATATCACTAGAAGAAAAATCCATAAGAAAATAACTATCAGTATTTATCATCCAGTCGTCGTCCTGTACTGGGCAGTATTTTTTTTCAATTTTTTTTCTTTTGAGTACTGGATAGTACACGTCAATATACCATTTAGTATCTAGGTAGTTAGGCACTATATCAATCAGACTGATTATCAAAACCATTGAGATTTAGATTATTGGTTAACAGTAGATTACCAAGAGTACAACCACAAATCAAGTTAGTAATTTTTTCCACTTGTTACGCATTAAGTTATTTTCAATTATAAGATATCCTTACCATCTCAACAATATTATATTACAAAAGTGGTATTGTTCCAGTCCTATTTAATTACTAAGATAAAAAATGATTCCATAAAAATAGACATTCCATGAAACTTTACACTCTGTGACTCAAGTCTACTCAGGTTGTTGTTTGGTGGGGCTTTTTTGATGGTAGAAGAAGATCCATGCAGTCAACCCAAAAGACTTGGTGCATTATAGCTTCTATAATTCTAGTCACAAACTCCCACCTCATTGAACTATAAGCAAACTGTGTAATATAATCATTATTAGTGAAATTGGTTAAAGCTATTACACATATTAACACAAGATCAATGTGAAGTCGATGAAAAACAAAATTATTTCAGCTAGAGCCTAGAGATATAGCAGAAGTGTCACGCATAGCACTGCTTTTGGGATTCTCAAGCTTTCATGAGATGGTAATTATATTGTGACCAGAGTATTCTACATATACAGAGAACTACAACATAATTCCACAAAACAGGTTATCATAATGAAATTTTCAGAAAAGAACAAGGTAAATAGGAAAAATGGCATGTCCTATGTTCTGTAATCCAAAATCTTTATCATATAAAAATATATTAATCAACAATTTTCAGATAGTTGTGATGCATATTTAAACAAAACTGAATGTTAGTAGTTTGGTGGTAATCCCCTATCTATAAGAAATACAAACACAAAGTAGACTCAACATGTCTGATAAAAATGAAAGATTAAAAGCCAGGCCATTAGAAAATTACATACAGCATCCAGACACGCTTGAAGTTGAAGAGCCTCATTGCTATTAAGAGAAGAAATACAATTTGACCTGGATAATCCACTGGCCAAAGCAAGGACACAATCATTTGTACTTGTATCTCCATCGACCTTGAAAGATTGAATGTGAACTGAGTTAGGCTATAAAGAAAGTTCAATACACATGGCATCTCTATGAGATGCCGAGATAACAAGGAAAAGATAAGTCAAAAATTGCAGATTACTCATTCCATCATGACTTCAGTTCAAGA